GAGGAGTTTAAATTAATTGCAGGTCTTTATGCAAGTAGGAGAGTATTTAATGGATTTCCAGGTGTTACATTGATATCCTGGTGAAAGCGGTCAATGGCGTCCCGGAGAAACTTTATCGGTACCAGCATATCCTGAACCACATGGTGCTGTTCGTAAAGCTTTCTGATTGTTTCTCCCTGTGTCAGCTTCAGCAAAGAGATCTTAGGAGGAACCATCCAACCAAACAGCCAGCGGAAGATCGGATTATTGCCAAATGGGATGATATCCTGAAAGAAAAGAGTCCCACAAACCCTGTTGGAAAATGCTTCAAAGCCTGTGAGTCAGTTAGGACAGACAACTTGAGTTACCACACCCAGAACTACTGCAAATACCAAACTCAGTCTTCCAGTTATGAAATGTGTTTCAGCTGCAGCATTTACCACTTCTACTTATTAGTCATGTTTTTATTCTGGAAACTGAAGTTACAACAGCTGCTCTACTGTACATTCTTTAGGTTGCAGTGCTGCCCCCTCACGGACTTGGTTTACACTTAAAAATATTTTAGTTAAGAAGCACAGGTTTTTTGCTTACAAAAAGATAGGAAAATATAGACCGAACCAACCTACAGACACGGGCTAAGGAAATGTTCTTTTACATTATGATGCACCTTTCAGAAAAGTATTGCTTTCTACTTTTTCTAGTATTTGATTATAGCTATATTCTTATCAATTTGTAATAGTAGTAGAACACTAAAGAATACAGCTTTTTTTAACACAGTCCTTTTTACAGTATTTCTACATAAACAAACAACAAAATGTGTCCTTTCCATTGAATCCTAACGGTGCAGAGCAGCGAGCGCTTTCAAAAGTTCCTCATCATTTCCAGAAATTTGCAATGCTATTTCAATCAAACATTAATTTAGTATTTAATGTAATAATAATAATCTTAGTATGATTTTTTTTTGCCATTATCCCCCAATAGGGTATCATAAATTAATGATTCAAGTCGTCTTATTTCCACTAGAGGGCATCCAAGACTCACCAAGCGGTGCCAAGCATCTTTCAGTATCATTGAACAATACCAGTTGTTGATTCAAGATTTTAGTGAAACCATTAGTCAGTACTGCAGCAGGCTGCTTTTTCTCTGCACTAACTGCAGAAACTTTTCAAAATAAGAGTGCAGTCACGAGGCCAGAGCAGGGCTCCTGACATCTGTTAAACCAATACAATGCATAATTCATCACGTCATTTTACCCTTACAGAAAATAAAGCATGCCAAGCGTTTCTTACTAATGGCTAATGGGGGTGTGTGTATGGGAGAACATGTGGGTAAGAGAGAGTGAGGGATTGTGCTTTGAAGTGTAATAAAAAAGTGACAGGCCAGTTGATGAAATATGCTTAAATGTCTTCGTGTTTGTCATTTATTCAATAAACATTTCAGTCTGTGTGTGCAATCTTCGTGATTACCTGAAGCTCCCAGAAGATGCTGCGTGTGTGTCTGTGGTAGTAGTGTCTCAGAGGTATGTATTCCACTCCACTGTGGCCTTTGTTCAGGTAACCCTCCACATGTTTGAAGAACCAGGGTTTGAAATGCAGCCCAATTCTGTTTATCTGGAATGAAAGAGGAACTATTGAGTTATTAATTTAAAGTCAGAGGTACATGGAACTGAATCTTCATACTGTACCTCATAAACTCACACACCTTACCTTATCTGGCTCGGCGTGGTCAGTCATGGTTCCTCTCATGATGACAGCCTTGTCCAGGCTGTACTGGATGCCCTCAACAAATGTGTTCTGTTTGTTCTCGGAAGCTTCAGTAAAGCGTTTACAGATGTTCTCCAGCCCGCTCACAGGCTCGTAGTGGAGTTTTACCCACTGCTTTGCAGGGACTATTTTAATCTCAGCTGCAACCAGGAATCCCAGAGTTCCACAGGACCATGGGACAGCATGGAAAAGGTCAGAGTTTTCTTCCTTTAAGACAGAATGTTGCTTGTCATCTTAATTAGAAAACAGATTTGTGACAGAATGTGTGATTTCAGCACCATGGAATCAACAGAACATGGCAAGTGCCATGCAACAAGAACCATTTCACTTTTAAATCAGAAAAAAAGAAATTGGTTTAGATGCTATATATTATAATTTCAAGACCTTCCAGGTTAAGTTAATGGACAAATATATATGTACATGTCATAACACCACGTATTCCGCATGTATTAGTGTCATGTTATTAATGCGTCTCTTCAGCCCATATATTTGTTTTAAACGCAATATTAACTCTATTAAGTTTCTCTGCTGTAAAAAAGTCTCTCCTAATTAGAACAAAACTGATTTGAATTTTTAACATCATCATCATAACATCATCACCAAGCCTGATTCCATCATTCAAAAAAAAAAGTATTTGGCATAAAAATATTTGGGGTTGTCTGGAATCACAGCGAACTTAATATGATACATTTACAACAAAACAACATTATATTCTGCCAAGACACAGCCATAAAGAAAAGGGTCTTGCTCTTATATTTGTAACATGATAGTCAAGAATAGGGCAGAACACCAACAGAGTGAAGTATTTACAGCTGTACTACAGCAGAGGGCAACCTAACCACAACTCAGCCTTAGATCTCAGAGGTTTAAACAGCTATACTATCAAAGAAAATATTACATTATATAAAAAGTCTCATATTTCATATTTTGTTGGTTCAATATCAACTGAAACACACCACTTTCCACTGTAGCAATGGTAGCTGAACATTTTCTAAAAATAAAACAAAAACTAAATTTGTAACAATATTTTTTGAAAATAAAATTGTGCAAGCAGCATCCTGTCTTTGAGTTCAATGGATGTTTTTTAAATGCACCACAGAAGCTGCACAGAACATAAACCACACCCTTGCAGTGCTGTACATAATATATAGATATACATATACATAGCTATATATATATATATATATATATATACAGTATATATATATTTATTGATTGTTGAACGACAGAGCGGTTGGTAGTAATAAACTTAAGAAGGTTCAGAAAGCATGTGCTCCTTAATTAGGACATATGTTTCCTAATTAAGGAGCACTTACGTGTATTTACGCACTTGCTTTTGTTATGAGTAGCGGCTTCATTACCATGAACTATGCCTATTCAATAGGCAGAGTATAAAAAAAAATAAGAAAAATTTAGTGAACTTTAGAAACTGTAGCCTATGAGACCACCCACAAAAAGTCCACCTCCCGGTCCAGTCACTCAGTACTCACCTCAGTGCAACGTACTAAACTGCCATCAGCAAGGACAAGTTCATATGCAATGCAAATGTGCTGGAAGAGTCCGTAAATGTGTGAAGATGACTCAATGCCTGTACCCATCACCAGGCCACCTGACAGAGGAGAGAGAAACGTTTAGATCTGTTCTGCTTTGAGCTTTACTGTGAAGCCTTCAGCAGAATGTAGCTTCCAGCTCCTGGGATCAGTGTGTATACACCTACATGGATAGCAGTATAAATGAATGTACCACATCCTGATGTGA